CTTGACTGAAACGGCAAAGTGGATGAGACTCTAATGGGATTTAAACCTGCCTCCCTTTGCTGTTCTCATCAGCCTTCGAAAATTGACATGTGCGCCACTAAAACAGGTTCTTAGTCCATGGTTGCGCAAATTTCCTCTCTGTAAAATGAAAATATGACCTGCATGTCTGGAGCGGTTATTATAGGGCTGGAAAAAATATTTCAGATTTTTAAGACGCCAGAGTCTGGATCGTTGGAGGGGCTGACTTCCCGAGGCCTCGGAGGCAAATCTATGGGAACAATGCAGGAGATTAGCCTTCTTGCTATGTCATTCTGATGTGACTTCAGGCAGTTGCTGGGTGGGAAAAGGGCCTCTACTTGATTAAAGCTCTTTCTTTGCCACAGAAGGGGCTGGACAGCTGCTTTCAAGTTGAAAAAAACGATGTCATTGGTTAGCTCAGGAGACACTGTGTTCTGGTCAGCCACGTGGCTAATGGACTTTGACTTGATAAGTTGGCACGGAGGGGGCACTTTGATGTGATTTATTTGTGCTTTTTAATGGACAAATGTAGATGTCCCATTAAAAGACCCAAAGGTGCTTTCTTGCCAAAGGCAACTGGGCTTTTTTGTTTTGCTTTAAGTCAGGGGTCAGCAACCTGTGGCTCTGGAGCCGCATGTGGCTTTTTCATCCCTCTGCTGCGGCTCCCTGTTGCCAGTCGGCTCCACAATTGATAGGGCTTTTGGTTAGGACAGGTAGAGGAAAAAGGATGCTGTACTAGGAGGAGACTCTATGGTGGGGAAACTGAACTTCCGGTCATCTCCAGAATTGAATGGGGGGCTTCTGTTTAGGATCTTTGTGGGTCTTTGAGTGTCTAAGATTGCTGACCCCTGCTTTAAGACATTTCACTTCTCCTCCTAGAAGCTTCTTCTGTCCTGTCTTTAGTAGTGGAGAATGAAAGATTGATGTTTCTTGCAGTAATCTTGCAGAAATCCTTCCATTCTCCACCATTCAGTCAGAATTTAAGCTTCTTGGATGAAAAGTGAAATGTGTTGAAGCAAAATAAGAAAGTACAGTTGCCTTTGGAAAGAAAGCAACTTTGAGACAACCATCACCTAGATGGGGGAGAATTTCCATAGACATTTCCTAATAGTAGGGAATATCTGTAGCTCAGGGTTGAACTGTGGATCCCTTAGTGCTCTCTGAGCTTCCAGTAGTTGCTTGTTTGCAGATGGTTCATTATCCAACAAGATAACATCAACCTAGCTCAGGGGTTAGCAACCTTAAACACTCAAAGAGCCACAAGGTCCTAAACGGAAGCCCCCCATTCAATTCTGAAGCTGACCAAAGTCTAGTTCCCCCACCATAAAGTCTTCTCCTAGCGTAGCATCCTTTTTCTTCTATCTGTCCTAACCAAAAGCCCTATCAATTGTGGAGCTGACCAGCAACAGGGAGCCACAGCAGAGGGATGAAAGAGCCACATGCGCTTGAAAGTCATGGGTTGCCGACCCCTGACCTAGCTCAAAGAGCACCAAGGACTGCACAAATGTGGTGTCCTATTACAATTACATCAATGCATTTTCACTTCAGGCATCTTAACATTGTTCCTTGATGACCACCTAGGCTTTTATCGTATTTAAATTATGGTTTTAGGGCAGGGGTGAAATCCAGCAGGTTCTGGAGAACCGTAGCGGAAATTTTGAGTAGTTCAGAGAACCAGCATATGCCATCTCTTGCTGGCCCCAGAATGGGGAAGGAATGGGGATTTTGCAGTATCCCTCCCCTGCCATGCCCACCAAGCCACACCCACCAAGCCATGCCCATAGAACTGGTAGTAAAAAAAATTGAATTTCACCACTGTTTTAGGGTCATCGAATAGAAAGATTAGAAGATAACTTTGAAGACCATCTAGTTCAGCCTCCAGCCCATGGCATATATCCATTACAATAGCATCTCCAAAGTTGGCTATGCAGTCCCTGTTGAAATACCTCCAAAAACAGATTGCTTCATTGTCCAACAGTTCCTATCATTAGAAAATCTTTCTTGGCATCAAATCATTTCCTTGTAATTCGACCTACCCAAGTGAATTGAATTAAATGGTAATACTACTTTACTGCAATATCCAAACACTGATTTGATTTACAGATGCTGATTTGAAGCACAGCAAACACATTTCTAGAATAAATGACATAGCACGCTTTGGCTTTCTCTTGTACTCTGCTCTCAAAGAACCAAGTGTTGTGGCCCAACAGCAGAGTCAGACAGTGAGGAGGTTGGGGAGGAGCATGGGCCAGTCCTGGAGGAGGGAAGGCTCAGATGAGGGCTCTGCATTGGAGGCAGAAACTGGGCCAGGGGCGTCTGGCAATGATCAGGTGCCTATGGAGCTAGACAGCCATAAGGCAGAGGAACAGCTAGAGCCTGTTTCCAGTGTGCACATGTGGAGAGCTGCCAGAAGAAAAAAACAACTCAGAAATCAGGGTCGACTTGGGAATAAAGTCACAGGTGGAAGGTGATTGGTCCCTCCCATAGGAAATAAAAGAGGAGTGAAAGGGGAGCGGGCTTTTGCAGGAAACAATTCAGTCAGTCGGTCATTAGATTCATTTCAGGAATGTGAAGATCTGTCTGTGAATCTCAGAATCTCTGTGTCTACTCTTTCCTTGCATGGCACCTCATTTGGAAAAAAAATTACATTGCAGCTTTCCAAGATAGATAAGGTCTGTAGTCATAAATATTCCTTTGAAAGACTGTTTGCCAAGCCTTGCTGAATGTGAATGAGAGGAATTCACATTCATTTAATAAAAGGGGTTTTGTTGGGACCAGGATTCTGCCTCGTGCTTTTTGGGGAAGCCTAGTTCAGAATACCAATGATGACTTGATGGTTGGAGAGTGTTCACCACAAAGCAGCACCAAGATAGAAGTAGAAGTTCAGCTCCCAAAGTTCACACCTTCATAAGCTGACGAAGGACAAATAGAAGAAAAAAATGGAAGAGAAGTAGCAGCAGGGATCATCCCAGGAAAGCAGAATATGGGATCATTTTAGATCCTAGCATACACTTAGGTTCCTGACATAACAGTTGGAAACTAAAGGTTATTTTTTTTAAAGCCATGCAGAAAACACAGGCTTTGTATACTGATTTAAATGAGAGAGGAATTTCATGAGCACTTTTTTGAATCAATGCTGAGCAGATGGATCGGTGGAAGAAAAGACTCTTGAGTGAGCAGAAAACGTCTTAGTTTGATGGAGAAGTCAGCGTAGCACCAGCATGTTGAGCTGCCAAAGGCAAAAGATACATGTTGAGAACCTGACTTGGCTGACAGCAATGTAGCATAAGCCATACAGGGCAGCAAACATTGCTCTGACTCAGTGGTGGGATTGAAAATTTTATTACCGGTTCTGTGGACATGGCATGGCTTGGTGGGCATGGCAGGGGAAGGATACTGCAAAATCACCATTCCCTCCCCACCCCACCAACCTGTTTTCCAGCTCCGTTCTCCTGTGCAGGGTAACAAAAGAAGACCCACCCAATCAGCTGGGATTCAGGAGGCACCAAATAGATGGGGGCAGGGCCATCCAGAGATGGTATTTGCCGGTTCTCTGAACTACTCATAATTTCCGCTACTGGTTCTCCAGAACCAGTCAGAACTGGCTGAATATGACCTCTGCTCTGCCCTCCACATACTTCCATCTACTACCTTCTCTCCTTCATCTGCTACTGGAAGGAGTCAACCTTACCATATGTGTACTGTGGCAAATCAGCCCATGAGGTTCAGGAGAGCCGTGTAAGTTTACAGTAATCCCAAATTTGAAGATGTTAATGAAACCTTTTTGCCATTTAAAAAAGGTGCTACCAAACTGATCATTTTGGGAGGGGCTGCTAGGAGCTTCCTCTGTTTCCTTCTGCTGCCTATTGATCGAGCTGACCCTATCATGGGCCATGATTAAAGTGTATTGCAACCAAAAATTGCATTTGGGCTGTGCCAAAAGAGGCTGAGGTTTCTTAAGCCACAAAACCACCTTCATCTCCACCTCTAAATATCAAGCTAGGGACCTGTCATAATAAGTGCTGGTCCTGAATATTGTCCCAAAGGAGCTGCTGATACAGTTCTACAGAGGAATGATTGAGTCTTGTCATCTGCACCTCTATAACTGTCTGGTTTGGCTCTGCAACCCAACAAGACAGACCCGGATTTCAGAGGATAATTAGAACTGCAAAAAAAACCCCCACCAATTACTGCCAGCTTGCCTTCCATTGAGGATCTCTACACTGCACGAGTCAAAAAGAGGGCTGTGAAAATATCTATAGGCCCCTCACATCCTGGGCATAAATTGTTTAAACTCCTACCCTCAAAACCAGGCTATAGAGCACTGCACACCAGAACAACTAGACACAAGGACAGTTTTTTCCCCGAACGCCATCACTCTAGTAAACAAATAATTCCCTCAACAGTATCAAACTATTTACTACGTCTGCACTACTATTAATCTTCTCATCATTCCTAACACCCATCTCCTCCCACTTATGACTATGACTATAACTTTGTTGCTTGTATCCTTACGATTTATATTGATATTGTTTCCCGATTGCTTATTTGTACCCTATGACTACCATTAAGTGTTGCACCTTATGATTCTCAATGAATGTATTTTATTCTCCTTATGTACCCTGAGAGGATATGCACCAAAGATGAATTCCTTGTGTGTCCAGTCACACTGGCCAATAAAGAATTCTATTCTGATCTATTCTATTCAAAGGTGTTTTTTCTAAAAGACAACTGGACTTTTTTTTTTGGGGGGGGGGGTGTTCCTTTGAAATGTTTCACTTCTCATCCAAGAAGCTTTTTCAGCTCTTTTTCTTCAAAGGAAAAGAAAAACAAAGTCCGGTTGCCTTTTTGACAAAGTACCCCTGGGACAACCATGATTGAGAATCTCCATAGACGTTCTGACTACTGGCTTCTGAATGCTATGAACTCTGTTGAGGCTGGGACAATCTTACAGAGTACTAACTAATATTGTCTTTACGCAGGTATTACAGCAAACTTATGAGAAGTTTGCTGGAATGCGATGAAGAAACAGTCGGGACCATTAAAGACAGTTTGATGGCCAAAATTGGACCAAACATGGCCAACCTATTCCATCTCCTGCAGACAGATCGCTGCGGACAGAATCATCCGAGAGCAGATTTCAATCGGAGACACATTGTGGAACCTCAAAAGTTAAAAATCTATTTGAGGAATCTCCGGGGGGAGGGACCTTCACCAGCCCACGTGAAACGTGATTCTTCAGAAAGTGTGTAACGTTCCACTGATTGAGTAGAGAATCCCAGTTGTACCAAACTAAGAAATTGCTCTTTTTTTTTTCTTTTGCATTCACAATACACCAGAAATGTACTGTAACTGACTTCTAAGGACATTGAGCCAATCTATACATTCAAACAAACAAAGGAAAAGGGCATGGTATTGTTTTTCTGGGACTGTACCACTTAAAAGGTTGAGGTGGGGAAAACTGCCTATTTAAAGCTTAATGTTGCAAATGTAGTCATGCTTAAATAGTTCTTTCAGCAGTCTAAAATATTTCATGAGGACCTCCTTTAATTGGGAAAGAATAGGAAGAATCTAGTTCTTCTCCTCTGCCATTAATCATAATATATTCTGAAGTGGTACAGTCAGGAATAATTGGTTCTCCATGGTTTTTTTTAATGGAAGTATAGATTGGTCCTTGGTCCTCGGCTATAGAGTTTTTACTTCTCATCCCCCGGTCCCGCTTCACCCTTCAAACAAACTGTATGAAAATAGAATTCTGGTTAGAACTGTGTAAAATTTCATCATGGAATGGTGGATCCCTTGATCTGCCCCCAACGGATCGAATGAATATAAGCTTTTGTGGAAAGATTGTAAGAGCACTTCAGCAAACACCAAACTTTCCTTGTACTGTAGCTCAAGCGACTTGACAGTCAGATAGTGTAGATATAGCTCTGCTTATCCTAAGTGGAAGACAAGAATGGGGGAGTCTAAAACAAAGTAAAAGAAGAATTTTTTTTTAAAAAAAGAAGTATTCCGTAGGTCTCATTGGACCACTGATACGAATGGTACTGTTTCATAGGCAAATATCAGTGTCCTATCTAGGCTCTGAATCTCACTGCTGCAAGGTTTAATTGCCTCACTTTTGAGAGTTCCTGAGATGACTGTTTTTAATCAACATTGACCTCATCAAATTCTGGCCATAAAAGAGGGTCTTACAGCAAATGAACAGTTTATCTTGGATCACTTGGAATGTTCTCCCGTCCTTTCCAATTAAGTGAAGAAACAAAACCTTTTTGCTAGCCTGAGAACTGAGCCAACAAACAGTTCTTGAACTTTTCTAACAACTACACCCCCCCCCCCACTTTTCAGGTCTTCCTTAAAAAAAAGGCACTTTGCCAAAGATTAGATATTTATCTTTTTTTCCCTTATGCTACCTGCAATGTCTAGAGGTTGTAAGCAGGTGGGGTAAGATGACACTATAAAGTGATGCCATGTGCTGCTGTCTTCTCATTGTGAGAGACAATTCCTGCCCACTTTCCATTTTAACATATGGCAAGGGCTTAGCCCTAGAATTGTCATTGGTGGCATGACAAATTATGCTCAAGATCCTTCTTCCTCATCCCACTGTTCTCCTGATGGGTTAATCCAGGGGTGTCAAATTTGCAGTGTCACAGCAGCATCATGTGATGTATTGGGACTTTTTCCCCTTCGTTAAACTGGGCAGGGGCGAGACCAGCATGTGACGCATCCAGCCTGCAGGGGCTGCAGGTTTGACACCCCTGTGTTAATCTATGTGTCCCATCACTCTCCAGCAGCATGCTTGCTATAGAGCCATGATGGCAAACCGGTGGCACATAGAGCCTTCTCTGTGGGCACGTGCACCGTCACCAGCTGCTCTCCTGGTTTTGGCATGCACACCGGACAGCTAGTTTTTGCAGGCATTGGAGTGCTGGAAAATGGCCCAAAAATGGCCAAAACAACAGGTCATTTTTGCGCCATTTTCAGGCTGTTTTCCATGCCATTTGGAGGCCATTATTTGGGTGAAACATGGCCTGAAAACAGCCCCGAAACAGCCTGAAAGTGGCGTGAAAACGACCAAACAGCAGGTCTACATGCGCAAAGATCAGCTGGCTGGATACCCAAAGACCAGCTAGCTGGCTTGCACACCATTGGTTTTCCAGCACTCCAGCGGGTGCACATGCACACACATGCATGTGCATTCTGCTTTGAGCTCTCGATGCCAAAACAGTTCGCCATGACTGCTAGAGAGTGACTGTAGACATTCCAGCACATCGTAAGAATTCTGGCAGGAGAAGACTGTCTGGAATCTGGGCCTAGTTCTCACCAAGTTGGTGAAATTGTCTTGGACTGCACTTCTTGAGGCTGCAAGTGGAAAACCTCATGATGGAATGTGGCATGCTGAAAACGAAGTGTTTGCATGTAGAAATAAGCATGTGTAGGGATAGGTTTGGTTACAACTCAGTGGACATACTATCGTGCTAGAAGAAAGTCCTGTGTTATTTGTACAGAAGGGCAGTTCTTTTATTTTAAGAGTAGCCTCTTACAGTTTGAAGTGGAAGTTCTTCACTAGAGGACCCTTGCATAGTAGTGGACAGAAGGGCTTTAAGGCATGGGCTTTAAGGTATTTTCTTGGGATGCTAATACCTCTTGCATGGTCTCTAAAACAGCTGATGAAACAATCTCACATACCATTACTTTTTCCTGGGTCACTTTAAGGAATCTGGTGACCACTGTCTTAAGAACAGAGCCTTGAGCCTTACTCTCTGATAGAAATGGAACAAGTTGTGCGTTAAGCAAAAGTTCCAAGGATTTATTTTTAATAATAATATCAAATAGCTTTTCAACTCATAGTTCCATTTGATAACTTTGCAATGATTGCTAGACAACTTTATTTCTAGAAGAACACCGCCTCTGTTGGAAAGCATCAGTACAAAAGCAGGACTCAATTCTAAAGGCCATTAAATTCTAAGGACTATTACATTATTTTGCTTAGGAATGCCACTTGAATCAAGAGAAAGGGTTAGACAAGAAAATTACTTTGGCAGATGCCATGTCCTAACCCCAACCTACATTAAAGTGAGATTCTTGGGCACTGCTTTAAAAAAAATAACTTTGCAAAACTGAACTACACGTGACGTGCCTACACAGAGCTTAACAATCTAGTGAGGGCTTGCCTTAACTCAATGCATTGGGTTGGAGCAAGGCTAAGTAGTTCAACTCAGGTCCTCTCCAGATTCATGGTTAGGTTGGTGGTTAAATCTCCAAGGAGGGACCAAATTCAGCTTACTTAGTCCATTGTGATTGAACCCATTGATGTCAAAGTTAATGTCCCACTGAAACAGCCTTTCCAACGAATCATAAAACTCAGGGTCAGCTTATAGTTTAAAGAGGAGGGGTTGGCAAAGTAGGTTTGATGGATTCTCCTGAGATATCTCTTCTATTTTCTTGGCAAATTTGGATGGGCAAAAGCACCCCATTTCTGAATCTGCCTGGGCCCTGCCAGCTTGTATTTTATTTTATTTTACTTTTTTGCAATGCTTCGGCATGAGGTCACGCCAGGGAATGTAAAGAGTTTTTATTGGAAGATTTTGTAGGATGACTCTGGCAATATGACTGACTATGCTGGGTGCTGAAATTAATCTTGGAGAAATTGTTCCTGGAATATATTACCGTTCTGCTGGGAAGCCAGGCACGCATCTAGAAAGCTAGCACATCAGGAAGGACACTTTTCCCACGCTTTCTGATCCCTGGTTTTCTATTTGCAAGTCATTTATAAAGATGATATATATTCCATCGGGCACTTCTCTAATTCTCCAGTTTTTGGAAAAGAGGTATTTTAGGAACAGCTTGAATTGAAAAGAGGTTGTCCAGTCCAGGCTTCGCTGCTTCCCCCTGAAAAATTAGCTTTCCTAATGCACTGGCTTCGCAACTTTGCTGGAAGGATTTAAACAGGCACTTTACCTATTGCACTTTCCAAATCAGAATAAATCTTGTTCATCATGTGTGAAGCTCATCTTCAAATGATAAATCTTTTGGACTGCTGTCAGGTTCCACAAAGCCTTGATCCATGTACATTCCAAATTTGTAGGGTCATCCACCAGAGGAAAGGTGTCCAAAGATGGTGGCATCAATGGTGCATCCACCTCTGTCCAGGGTGGGTTTGAAAATTTTTAGCAACTGGCTCTCTGCCCAGTTGCTGGGTGGGCATGGCCATGGTGGATGTGGCCTACTCAACCTCCTGCACCATGACAGAGGAAGTCTTTTCCCTCCCTAGGCTCCGGAGGCTATTCTCGAGCCTCCGGGAGGGTGAAAATGGCTTCCCCCAGACATCAGAAACAGGCCTGTTTCCGGACTTCTAGAACTTCTGGGAGGACTGTTTTTCGCCCTCCCAGAGCTTCCACACAAGCCCTGGACTTACCTGGCGTCCAAATGGGCCATGTGGAGACCCCTGGGAGGGGTGGATCAGGGTGGGCGTGGCCAGCCAGTCCTTTCAACTACAGGTTCGGTGAACCAAATGTAAAATTAGCAAATTTTACCAGTTTGAACCGGCTGAATACCACCTCTACCTCTATCTCTTTCTTTTGCTGCCCTGTCTGTGGGAACCCCCCCCTGCAAACCTCTCCAGTAAAGGAAGTGGCAACCACAGGTGACCATTACCTTACTGAAGAGAAGCGAATAATCACAATGAATATACTGAAAATATGCTTCTCATGGAAAAACTATTTAAAAAGCAATAGAATGTTTACCACGACGCCTTTAAGCATTAACTTGCTGCTAAAAATACATTTCTCACCCAAGGCAGTACTTCAGCCTTTGCTGTCTTCATTGAAATGCATGTAGCCCTAGAAAAAATGTGGTTATAGAATCATAAGTAGCAAAGGAAGAAGGGAAGAATTGCCAGGAGCAAGATTTTTATATTCCATATTATGCAGTCAAGCTCAGTCTTAGGTGTGATGCTGTGGAATAGAAACTTAACGCTTTTCAGGTAAATTTGATTCTCCTTTGCTTGTTTCAGGATTGTGTCTTTTCAACAATGCTTTAAAATGAAGGTTGATTGGGGAAGCGAAGCGTGTTTCTTGATTTGTGAGTGTGGAGCATTGATATTCCACATTAAATTGCTTGAATATTAATGACATGTTGGAATTTTAGCTGGGGGTGGGGAGAGAATGCATATGGGAGAAGGAAAATCTATTTGGCAAATAGATTATATCACATTAGAGCAGGGGATCTCCAAACTTGGCAACTTTAAGACTTAAGGACTTCAACTGCCATGCTGGTTGGGGAATTCTGGGAGTTGAAGTCCACAACTTTTAAAGTTGCCAACTTTGGAGGCCCCTGCATTACAATATATTGCTTTACATTGACAGGTCTAGTAATTCCTTAAATCCCATAGGTTGATTCACAAAGTAATTTTAACTGCACTGAAATTGATGTTTGATTTTGTAGTAGAATGGGGTTTCCTCAACAACAAAAAATGTGCACTCCTAATAATGGTCACTTGTCACAACAAAGGGGTCAAAAGAGGCCAGATAGTAGAGTGGCATCTCAATGAAAGGCCACACCCACCATCTTGCTTCTCTCGATTTCTTCCCATGGGTGCTGTTGTACTGTAGACCAGATGCAAGCTTGTTCAAGTGCACATCTCTAAGATGGCCAAACTGAATTGGGCCTTGGGAGCTAATCCATAAAATTGTCTTAAGGAACACAAAATTCATCCTCACCACAACCTCCTTAGGCAAAAAAAAAGAGCTCTCAAGATGGTGTAGATCTTCATCTCATCACAATGTGGGGATTGCGGGAGTTTATAGCTTGTGATCTAAAGTATAGTGAAATCTAGCTCTCCGGATTCTGCCGAATTACATCTCTAATCATGCTGGTCTGGAACGGAAGACTTGCATCTTGTGCTTAAAATCTAAAAAAACAACCATGGAGAGTAACAGCTTGTCTCCCCTCGCTCCAGGGCCTCCTGCCTTCCCTTCCTCCTCTTCTTCCCCTTTTTCTTGATTATAACCCCTCTTCATTCCATGAAAGTGACTTATACGAACAGAACTAGCCCCTCATAAGGAACAAAGTTGCTATTGGGGGATGGGAATCTGTAAGGAAGGAGAGGGATTTAAAAAAATAAAGAGAACGTGTGCAAAATATTGACATTCAAACCATTCTGAATTCTAAATTAATGGTTTCCGGTTCAAATCAGGCCTTTTCAAGCATTTCAGAAGTGTTGCGCTTCAGAAACGCTTTGCTTTTGGGCAGCTGTTTGCAGGTTGAAGGGAGCATTTCAAATTTTAGAAGGTCCAAATATGAAATGTTTTGCATACTATTAAAGCAAA